AGACCCCAGCCCTCCCTTCCCAGATGGGACACCTTGGGCTACAGGTAGCTCTGCCCCTGGGGGCCCCCAGGACAGAGAGGGCAGTCACTAGCCCTGCGGCCTGCAGGGTGGCGGTGGGCGCCTCGGCGGACGGCACGTAGCAGAGACCCTTTCCCACCACGGCTGGGCCGACTGGGTGTCCCGCAGAAGGGCCTGGAAGGGCCACCACGTCCATCATCCCCTTTTCCCAGGTGGCAGCAATGAGCCTGGTGTGCGTTTGGGCACAGGTGATGGGCGAGCAGGCATTGCCATGCCCCCGGGTCACCCCTGCGGCCTTCTGGGCCCCTGGGCCAGGCCCAAGCTCCACCCAGATAATCTTCTGGGCAGAGGCACAGACCACCCTGGAGTCATGAGTGTGGACAGCACAGCCCCTCCCTGCTGACCCGACCTGGATGCAGACACTGCCCCGTCCCCCACGTCCCCCTGGTTCCTCGGCCCCTCACCCCTCTTCTCTCCTGCTCCCTGGTTGTGTGCAGAGGGGCACCCTCCCACCAGAGGACCCAGGGAGACCCGCCTGCAGCCGGGTATCCTGGTATTTCCTCAGCCTGGGTGAAGACATGAGGGCACGGAGACCCCCTCAGGCATCCAGGCACCGCGCCCTTGTTGGGGGATGAGGCCCAGAGAAGGGACATAAAACACCCAAGGTCACTCCCGGAGATGGCAGCAGAGGGCAGGACCCAGACCTGGGTGTCCTGACCCCCACCAGGCTCATTCGCCTCAATGGCTCTGCCCCCCCAGGAATGATGAAGGGAAAGGAAGAGGGGACGGGAGGGGGAAGAAGGGGATCAGCCTCCACTGGAAGGGTTTGGTTCTGAAGAGACCCTTTGGGGGTTCCCCAACCAGTCCTGCACTTTCTGGGGGGCCTCCTCCCACCTCCCTCATCCTCAGCCTCAGTTATGGGGGGCCTCCTGGTCAACAACTGGTCAACAGTGACAGGGCGGTTCCCCAAAAGCGAAACACAGAATGCCCACATGATGCAGCCATCCCACTTCCGGGTGAGCACCCCAAAGAAGTGACAGCCGGGGCGCAGGCAGATGATGAGGGCAAGGAGACCTCTCAGCAGCAGCAGCACTCACAGCAGCCCCCAAAAGGAGGGACCCGCTGACGCTGGCGACGGTCCACACCAGGGAGCCTCACTCCGCGGAGAGGAGACCCTGGCCCGGCCACTGCGGGGCCCTGGAGGGGGTCACGGTGCGGGAAATAAGCCAGATGCAGCCACACAGACGGGATGCGGCCCCGCCTGCGAGGGTCTGCAATGGCGGGGCCAGGTGTGCGGAGGGGGGGCGTGGGGTGAGTGCTCAGGGGGACAGGGTTTAAGATGGGAAATCCTACATGAGGCCTATTTTAGCACAACGCCCCGCGGCCCTGGCCGCCGGCACCCCTCAGCCGCCCGTCACCCCAGGAGCAGAGTGGCTCCGGGGACAGCTCCGGGGGGGCCCACGCCTGCCCAGGCTCCAGCCTACGCTGCTCCGCCGCACCCTGGACTCCAAGCGCCCCGCCGTCCGGCCCCCTGGGAAGGGGAGCCTCTCGGTCCTGCGTTCCGGAGCAGGTAGGGGCCCCGCAGCCCGCAGCCCCAGGCTCTGTTTGCACAGCGGGCCGCGGCCCTGGCCCTGCTTCCGCCCTGCCCGCGGCAGGGAATGCTTTCAAGAAAATCTCCGTTATTAATGTGGTTTCTTTTGTTGGAAGTCGCTGCAAAGGCAGCAAACGAGGATTTATTTTCCTAACGTGCTTGGCATAGTTCCGCGGCCTCAGCATCGGGCCTGGGAGGAGCCTGAGACCCCGGACGGCTCTGAGTCACCGGCGGAGCCGCGGCCTTCCCGGTCCGCTCCGGGGGAGCCGGGTCTGGGGAAACCGCTGGCAGGCACAGGCGGCATCTGCTGACGATGGCTTTGTGAAAACCAAATAGCCAAAAGAGACACGTCTCAGAGCGTCGCGCCTGCTCACGGCGCAGGTGGAGGACAGAGCCGCTTTCTAGCGCGCGTGTTCCCCGTGACCGCTGTTTTCCTAAGCGGGAACGCCCCACCTCTCTTCGGTGTCGGTGTCTTTCTCTGGGTCTGGAAACAGCTCCAGAGGCCACAGGAAAAGCTGCTGCTGAGCCTGTCTGGGTCCCTGGTGAGATGCCTGGGGGCCGCGGGCCGGCACCGGAGCTCCAGGTCACAGGCCAGCCCGGGCCCGCGGGCCAGCACCGCGAGGGCTGGTGCCAACTTTGGAGAGGGATCCAGTGACGCGAGCTAGGGCCGCAGGATGAGGGGTGGCCGGTCCCTTCCCCAACCTTGGGAGGCCAGGAATTCACAGTAAGTGGCAGAGAAGGGACCCCTGCCTGGGAGGGAAGACTCTGGAAGCTGCCCGGGGCCCACAGCCTTCTCCTCCAGCTGCGGCCTGCAGGCCCAGACCCTGAGAGCACGCCCAGGGCGCCCCCGGGCCGGCGTGCAGCCGAGGGTGCCTCCCACCCTGCTCCTGCCTCTCCTGGGAGCCCTCCTGACAGTGGACACCCCTGGAACGCACCCAGTTGGCCTTGGGAGACGCCTGACTACATAAAACATTTGGATTCATGGACTAGCAATTTGTTTTCAACCCGAGTGTAGGATCGCCTCCTTTTAATTTTGCCAAGTTAGGACATTAAAATCAAACAACCTCCAGTTATTAGCCTAGTTCGTAAAAAAAAGGGGGTGTTTTAACCTTTCAAACAAGTAGGAAACCAGGACTTTCAGCTTCCTGAAAGGACTCTCCTAGTGCCCGTATGTCCATGCCCACCGCAATTTTCAGAGGCCTGGAAAAAAATCTCCCCTTGGGCCAGGAGCACGGAGCTGGGCCGCAGGGCCCCAGGGCAGAGCTGGGGGTGCCAAGGCAGGAGGCACCCCATGAACGCATCTTTGAGTCCCCTGCCTGCACTCCCTTGTCCGGGAAGGAGAGGCTCACCTTGGGAGGAGGCAAACTGAGTGTTGCCCTCGGGCCCTGGCCGGCGGCCCACGCCCAGCATCCTCCGTGCCAGGTCTGGAGTTCCCAGAGTGTTGGAAGCCCCTCCGCAGGAAAAGGCCCACAGCACCCCACCCCCAGCCCACACCTCACTCCCCGGCTTTCATCGCCAGTCCTAGGAGCCTGCTGGGGAGGCCACTAAAGGCTGCCCGTGGCCTGACCAGACCCCAGTGTCCCTGGCCGACACAAGCCGTCCTGGGTTTCCCCAGAAAAAAATGCTCCATTTGGGCCTTCTTTGCTGCGTCCAGGGGAAACCACTGCCAGTATCCACCATCGGGGTTCAGGCGGAAATGGGGGCCCCATTCCCTGGCCAGGACTTGAGTATAGGCTGTTAGGCCTGCTGCCTTCTCCCCCATGGTCCCTGCATTCCTGTCCTCATCCCTGTCTCTCTCTCTTCCTTTTCTTCTCCCTTTCTTTGGATCTTTCTTTGGATCACCTCTCTCCACCCCTGGGGGTTCCCCCATTCATCAGGGTAAACTCAGAGACCTCTCCTCTGCCCTGAGGGGAAGCAGGCTCACTCCCTGGCCCCCCCTGAGGTCCTCAAACTAACCAGGCTCAAACTAACCAGGTCCTCCCATACCAGAGGGCACCCCGCTTTACCCCTGACCCAAGCACCTGACCAGACACCTCCCTTTCATCTCTCTGTCAGGGAAACCCCAAATCCCAGGGTTGGGTCACCCTGGCAGGCGAGCAAGGTGCCAGTCCCCTGGGGCTGGCAGGTGGTGGGGCTGCGCGGTCACCAGTGGCTACTGGGCACAGGTGGCCCAGGTGGGCAGGCTCTGCAGGTATGTGATGAGCAGCAGGTTGTCTCAGGGGTCCCCCACTGAGGCGCGTACTCCCCAACAGTCTCAGACCACGCTGCGGTCACCTGGGCTTCCCCGCACCTCCTCCCACCTGAGAGCCAGACATGCAGCCAGCAGGGGCCCCTGAGACCTGGAGGCTGGTGCAGGAAGCCGGCCCCCAGAGCTGGGCGGGCGTCAGCTGGGAAACTCGTCAGGGACCCCGAGGCTGCAGCAGGACAGGCTGCTCCCCAGGGCCGGCCTCCAGCCACTGCACCTCCTCTTCGGGGTGCAGTGAGCTGAGGGGACCCCAGGAGACTGCCCAGGGGAGGGCCTTTGCTTCATCCTCATCTTCCCCTGCTGGGGCACCCCCTCCCCCTTCCCACGGGCTCTGGGCGCTGGGATCCTGTGTGACTTTTTGAAAAAAGCCACTTGACTGGGTTGTTTGTTTTTTAAAGCCCTTCCTGATGACCTCTGACCTCGGTAGGGGAAGAGAGGCCCGGCTGGCTCGCTAGGGCGCCAGTGGGAAGCCTCTGGGGGCGGGGCAAGTGGGGGGCAGGCGTCCGCACCCCCCAAGGAGCCCATCTTGAGAAGCTGCAGCGACGGGTGGTCCTGCGGGACAAACCCGCGGCGCCTCCTCCCCGAGCCTCAGTCTCCCCAGCGCGCACAGCACAAACCGCGCGCGCTCCCCGGCCCTTCGGGGGCGCGGGGCCCTGGGGGTGCCCCCGGGCTGGGCCCAAAGGAGCAGTTCCCGCGCCCCGGGGCTCTGCCCTCGCGACAGCCCCTCCCCGGCGGAGCGCTCCGGCGGCCCCCGCGGGTCCCGGACGGCCGCTCGGTCCAGGGCGGCCACCAGGTCCAGGGCGGCCACTCCGCGGCGGCCTCGGGCCCTGCTCTCGCGCGGCCGCGGCGCCCGGGGCTGCGCCGGGAGGTCCCGCCTCAGCGGCCCCCCCAGCGCCCCGCTGCGCCCCGGCGCCCCGCTGCGCCCCGGCGGGGAGCCGCTCGCTCTGCCCACTCGCCCGCCCCACCGCGCGCCGGCGGGCTCTGCCTCCGGGCTGCCCAGCCCCGCGCCCGCGCCGGCCCTCGGTTCCCACGCCCTCGGGTCGGCGCCCACCCGTCGCCGCCTCGGACCGCGCCCGCCCCGCGCCGCGCCCCGCGCCCGCGCCCCGCGCCCGCGCGCCCGCGCCCCGCGCCCGCGCCCGCACTCACCGTCCTGCGGCGCCGCCTCGCTGCCGCTGCTGCCCCCGGACGGCTCCCGCGCCGCGCCCTCCCGCGCCTCGGGCCTGACCGCGGGGCGCGCCGCGAGCCGCCCGGCCGCCGCCTCCTCCAGGTCCAGGAGGTGGCTCACCGAGAAGTTCTTGCGCGCCTGGGCGCAGTCGCCGGGCCCCAGCGCGGGCGGCGCCGGCGGCCCCGGGCCCAGCGCCGGCTTGTCCAGGGCGAAGGCGGCCGCGCTGTCCATGCCGCGGCCCCGGGGGCGCCGGTCCCTGCTCCGGGCCGGGCGCGGGTCGGGTCGGAGCCGCGCGCCCCGCCGCCCGCGCTCGCCCGCCGCCTCCCCTGGCCGCGCGGCCCGCCCGGCGCTGACGTCGGGGAACAAACTTTCCTCCTCCCTGCGCCGCCGCCGCTGCGAGTCGCCAGCGCGAGCCGCTCGGCCACACGCCCCTTCTTGAGGAGACCTCGCCCCTCCCGCCCGCCGCCCCGCCCGCCCCCCGCGCGTGGGGAGGGGGTGTCCCGGCGAGGAGCCGGCCGGGCGGGGCGGGGCGGGGGCGGGGGTCCCCCTGCACCCTCCCACCCGCGCTGTAAGAAGTGGGAAGTTCGGCGTGGTGGGGTGTTTTGTTTGGGTGTTTTTCTTAGTTCCCCAACAAGTGTGTGGGGGGCGATCGTTAGGAACTGGCAGCACCCCCCATTCGCACATTCCTCCACGCGGATGGGGGAGCGGCTTGAAGGCCTTTGACAGGGAAGATCTCAAGATCTCGGCCTTCCCCGAAGGCCAGAACCCCAGGTCCCCGGGGGTTGTGCCCCCCCACCCAAAGCAGTGCATTCTCAAGCTTCTGGGGTGCAGCGCCTTCCCCCTACCCGCAGACACACACCCCTGGGTGTCCACTCCCAGGATGCTCAAGGCCCTCCCACAGGAAAAGCAAGCAGAGAAGAGTTTCCCTCCAGAATTCCTAGTGGACACCGCGCGGAGGGTAGCCAGCCAGCCAGCCAGCCTGACAGATGGCCACAGGGAAGGCTTAGGTTTTTGTTTTCCAAGGATGCCCCTGTGGCGGAGCTGGACTGTGGGCTCCAGATGCCCCAGGTCCTCGCCCTGGCGGGCTGCGTGCTGGCCTGGCCCGCTGTCCTCCCTGCCATCCCCAAGACGATGGCCTGAGACTGTCTACTGAGTGTCCTCTTGGGGCTCCAGAGCTAAGAGCCCACCCTGCACCCACCCCCAAAACCTGCAGACCAGCAACCTAGATTCTGCATGAGTTTCCCGACCAGAAAGGAATCACCCCCTAAATGAGGTCCCCCCACTGATCTTAACTACGGCCCTCCGTGGCGGAGCACCGCTGTGCTGCTGTGGGACCTCAGACACGTCCCCTTCCCTTCTGAGCCCCAGCTCCTCCCTTGGGGAATGAGTTTAACGAAGCAACTGTCTCCCAGAAATTGCGGGGATTGTGTCCCAAGTGACATCCTGGGCCGGGTCTAGAACGCAGGGTGGTGCTGTCCACAGCTGGAGCTGGGAGGGGCTGGAGACACCATCTACGCCCCATTTCCTTGGACGGCAAATGGGGAGACTGAGTGCAAACACAGAGATTCCGCCCACAGCTCGGACAACCACTGCAAGTGTTTGGTCCAAGCCCTTCTATTGTTCAGATGGGTAAAGTGAGACCCCAGGGCAGGGAAACTCATTGCCAATGTCTCCATGTGAGCCCCCAGTCCTTAAGACTTCCTTCGTCCGCTCGTGCGTGCAGGCATCCATCCTTCCCGCGTGGAGAGGGGCTGCTCTCTCGCTGTGGTCTGGCCCCAGCATCCTGGGTGATCAAATCTAGACCTTCCGCTTCCAGCTGTGGATCTTAGCAACCTGCTTAGCTCCATCCTCTCAGTGACCTCATCTGTAAAAGGGGCTGTTAGGAGCATTAAAAAGTTGACATGTGTGGGGTACCTCAGTATGTGTTATCAATTATTATTTTTAAAACATATGTTTCAGGACTCCCCGGTGGTGCGGGGGTTAAAGTCTTAGCGCTATCAAGCTATCACCAGCCACTGTGGCCTGAGTTTGATCCCCAACCAGGTTGCTGACCCACAGGGCACAGCAGACCTCTCCCGTCTCCCCTGCTGCTCCCCCCAGCAGTGTGTTGCAGTAGATCTGCCTGCTCTGCTCCCCACTCTGTCTCTGGTGAATCCTCTCCCCCTCGCCCCCAACACCTGTGGTCTACACCTTAGTTCTTGTATATATATATATATATATATATATATATATAAATAAATAAAAATAGGGCCTTCCTGGTGGCACAAGGGGTTAAGCACCGCACTGTGAAGCAATCGCAGCCTCTGCAGCACGAGTTCGATCCCCGACCGACCAGAGAGCAACCCACATGGCGCGGCAGACCTTTCCTTTCTCGCACACTGCTCCCCTCAGCAGTGTATTTCAGTCAGTCTGCCTGTTCTGTTCCCCACTCTGTCTCTGGTGAATCCTCTCACGCCCTGCATCTCTGGCCTGTACCCCAGCTCTTGGATGCATAAATAAATAAATCTTTTAAAAATAAATCAATAGGGCCTCCCCGGTAGCGCAGCGGTAGAGCGCTGGGTTGCGAAGCTGCCCACAGCCTCTGCAGCGCCGGTTCAGTCCCCGGCTGCTCCCCGGCCACCAGAGGAGGGTCCCACATGGCGCGCAGACCTCTCCTGCCGCCCGCTGCTCCCCTCAGCAGTGTACTTCGGTCCTTCTGCCTGTTCTGTTCCCCGCTCTGGCTCTGGTGAATTCTCTCACCCTCCCGCGCTTCTTTTTTTTTTTTAAAGATTTATTTATTTATTTATACAAGCACTGGGTACAGTCAGAAGCACGGGAGGGTGAGAGAATTCACCAGAGCCAGAGCGGGGAGCAGAACAGGCAGAGGGACCAAAGGACACTGCTGAGGGGAGCAGCGGGCGGCAGGAGAGGTCTGCACGCCATGTGGGACCCTCCTCCGGTGGCCGGGAAGCAGCCGGGGATCGAACCGGCGCTGCAGAGGCTGCGAGCAGCTTCGCAACCCAGCGCTCAACTGCTGCGCCAACGGGGAGGCCCCCTCCCGCGCTTCTGACTGTACCCAGTGCATGTATAAACAAAACAAACAAACAAATAAATAAATAAATAAAACATGCCTCTATAAAAAAAATAAAAAAAAAATAAATCAATAAAAATAAATCTTTAAGAAATAATAAAAATAAAAAAATAATAAAAATAAAGAAAACATATGTTCCAAGAAGCAGAGCAGGACAGTGATGGCAAACTCGGGTTCTGGAGCTGGGAGGTGGGGGGTGGGTTTGAATGTGTTTACTGCCATTTATGAGCCACGTGGCCATAGAGAAATCATTTGCTGGTCCTGTCTGAATTGGAACCCTCGTGTCTGCAATAGGAATATCAAAGGGATCAATCCAAAGAGTTCTGTGAATCTGGCATCATTGTTGTCATTATTGGGTTGTTTCTACCTTTGCCGTCCCTGGGGCTGAGGCCTGGGAGGCACAGAGATTGCAGAGCAAGAGGATAGACTCTTACATCAGAGCTCAGCCCTTGAGCAAGAGATGCAGGCCTGATGCAGCCTGGAAAGTCCAGGGCAAGTCCAATTAACTCGGGAGGACAGCACTCATGGCCCCAAAGGGGTGGGGCTAAAAACAAACCACTTCTGTGGTGATTTAGATAAATCCCATGATGCTAACCCAGAGTGGGAGGCGAAGAGGAATAGGACCCCAGTTTGGAACCTCTCAATTCAATAAGCAGTTATGGAACCAGGCACTGATCTGCACAGTGGGGATGGGGAGGAGTAGAAGGGCACAGAGCGGGTCCCTGCTCTCCAGAGAGGATTCGATGACCAAGGCACGGAGCCTTCATTGGGAGTCCATTGGGGGTGGGGTCCTGGCTCTGACTATGAATATTTGCCCCAGTTTCAAAAACTCAAGTGCTTGAAAAACAAAGTTAACTTTAAAAAAAAGCTTATGTTGAAAAAAATTTTTTAAAGATTTATTTATTTATGCATACAAGAACTGGGGTACAGGCCAGAGGTGTGGGGGGGTGAAAGGACTCACCAGAGACAGAGCAGGAAACAGAACAGGCAGACTGACTGAAACACACTGCTGAGGGGAGCAGCAGGCGAGACAGGAGAGGTCTGCTGCACCGTGTGGGTTGCTCCCTGGCCGGCCGGGGATTGAACTTGTATTGCAGAGACTGGGGTTTGCTTCATAATGCGGTGCTTAACCCCTTGAGGCACCAGGGAGGCCCCTTATGTTGAGATTTTTAAACACACACACAAATGAAAGTAAGACAATAAACAACACATGTATCCTCTCTCAGAGCTCTCTGACACAATGTAAGTATTCAATACATTTTTTAAAATTAGTTTAATGAAAGAGGTTGAAGGTAATCATCCTATTTATTCTATATTGAATTGGAACCCTAGAAAAAGCAATAAGACAAGAAAAAGGAATGAGTGAAAAGTAATTTTAGAGTGCATCATTCTATAAAATACATTCCAGAAGGATGGAGATGGTCATAGTTATTATCAAAGATGAACTCTGTTGTACTACTTTATAACTTGCTTACTGTGTCAGGAAAAATCTACATTATTCTCTATTGCTAGTTAGCCAGAGTTATTTTCTTGGTTATAATGCCCAGAAACAGGATATCTGGATGAGGTAGATATACCTCAAAATAATAACCTCCCAAGGATGCCACATCATAATCTCTGGACTCTATAAATACGGCAAAGAGTGAGAGTAGTAGATGGAATTGCGGTTGCCTGGTGGATAACCTTGAGATAGAGAGGTCATTTGAGATTATGTGCGTGAACCCACATAACAAGGGTCCTCCCGCAACAGGGAGGATCTGTCAGAGTGATGTGAGGTAAGGATTCCCCTGGCCAGGGCTGGCTTTGAACCTGGAGGAAGCCACAAACCAAGGGATGGAGGCAACTTCTACAAGCTGAAAAAGACAAAAAATCAGATCCTTCCCAGAACCTCCAGAAAGAAATGAAGCCCTGAGGATGCCTTGATTTTAACCCAGACATCTGACATCCAGAACTGTAAGGTATTGACTGTTCTTCAATACGTCTGCATGTCTTTAAACGCGGAGCAAGGAGAAACAATGTGAGGTCAAAGATTCTGCAAAAGATGAAAGATTTTCGATATATTTTCATGGAACCTCCGGGAAGGTTGGCTCTATATCTGTTCCTAGAAGTTTCTCTCTACCCCTGTTCCAATGAGCTCTTTTGTTTCTTTGCTTATTTGTTTGTTGCGACATTCTTAGGGTTTTACTTAATACAAATAAAATGTGCACAGGAGCTGCCTATTCATTCTCTTTGCTGCATGTCCCGGCACTGGGATGAGGGGCTCTGCAGGCCAGCTGGCTGACCTTTCTGCAGCACCTCTGCAGTTCTTGGCGCCCTCTCGGCAGATTTGTTGCACATCAGCAACTTTGTTACTTC